GAACTGCTGTGATGGACAACTGGAGGCTGTGGCAAGAGCTGCCATAGTGGACCACTGGAGACTGTGGCAAGAGCTGCCATAGTGGGCCACTGGAGACTGTGGCAAGAGCTGCCATACTGGACCACTGGAGAGTGTGACAGGAGCTGCCATACTGGACCACTGGAGAGTGTGACAGGAGCTGCCATAGTGGACCACTGGAGAGTGTGACAGGAGCTGCCATAGTGGACCACTGGAGAGTGTGACAGGAGCTGCCATACTGGACCACTGGAGAGTGTGACAGGAGCTGCCATAGTGGACCATTAGAGAGTGTGGCAGGAGCTGCCATAGTGGACCACGTTAGCGACAACACGCCCGTCAGCACAGCGCATGCTTGCTTGCTGGTCCAGTGATCACCATACTAACACCACATCATCAACTTGGCACGATAAAAAAACTTACAAACCATAAACAAACCCCGCCTTTGGTGAAGAAAAGCACCACACAAGTACAGGTTTGTGGATGTATCGAGTTTCTCGACACATCTCGGCTGCCCTGCGTTATATCTGAGCACATCTCGGCCGCCTTAAGGCATGTCTGGGCACATCTCTGCTGCCTTACGGCTCACCCGTCAATGTCCTCTACATACTGTCCCTCGCCATCAACCTGTTCAGTAAACTCTCAAGTTTCTCCGATAACATTATTTTTCAAACAACTATATATATATATATATATATATATATATATATATATATATATATATATATATATATATAACTGAAAACTCACACCCCAGAAGTGACTCGAACCCATACTCCCACAACTGGTATGTACAGGGACGCCTTAATCCGCTTGACCATCACGACCGGACATAAGGAAGTGATAGCCGAGGCTATATGAACCACTTCCCCGCCGGCACTCGGATGGTAATCTTGGGCATAGCATTTTATCAAATCACCTCATTCTTTGGGGCACACGTGAGGAACACAAATGCAAACAAGCCTGAATGGTCCCCAGGACTATATACAACTGAAAACTCACACCCCAGAAGTGACTCGAACCCATACTCCCACAACTGGTATGTACAGGGACGCCTTAATCCGCTTGACCATCACGACCGGACATAAGGAAGTGATAGCCGAGGCTATATGAACCACTTCCGCCGCCGGCACTCGGATCCGAGTGCCGGCGGGGAAGTGGTTCATATAGCCTCGGCTATCACTTCCTTATGTCCGGTCGTGATGGTCAAGCGGATTAAGGCGTCCCTGTACATACCAGTTGTGGGAGTATGGGTTCGAGTCACTTCTGGGGTGTGAGTTTTCAGTTGTATATAGTCCTGGGGACCATTCAGGCTTGTTTGCATTTGTGTTCCTCACGTGTGCCCCAAAGAATGAGGTGATTTGATAAAATGCTATGCCCAAGATTACCATCCAAGTGCCGGCGGGGAAGTGGTTCATATAGCCTCGGCTATCACTTCCTTATGTCCGGTCGTGATGGTCAAGCGGATTAAGGCGTCCCTGTACATACCAGTTGTGGGAGTATGGGTTCGAGTCACTTCTGGGGTGTGAGTTTTCAGTTGTATATAGTCCTGGGGACCATTCAGGCTTGTTTGCATATATATATATATATATATATATATATATATATATATCTTATTATACTACACATTAAAATATAAATAGTATAGAAGAGCAGTTTGGTTAAATGTAGTCGCGTCTACAGCCAGTAGAACAAGTAGAACTTATTAAGTTACTATACTCACACTGTACTTCATTATAAAAATCCAAGGCCTTAGGGTCACTACATTATATTTAATGTACGAAAGTTCAAGGCCTCAAAAGTTTGTTACAAATTCCTTGACTACTAGAAAAGTGTTTGACCAGTCTTAGGGCTGAACTCTCTAGCCAACGAGCAGCACAATGTTTGCCTGCTCCTGTGGTTAGTCAAGCCCAGGACCCAGATTCACGAAGCAGTTCCTCTAGCACTTACGAACGTGTACATCTTTCCTCAATCTTTGGCGGCTTTGGTTACATTTATTAAACAGTTTACAAGCATGAAAACTTGCCAATCAACTGTTGTTACTGTTATAAACAGCCTCCTGGTGCTTCGGAGCCCATTAACTGCTTAATAATTGTAAACAAAGCCACCAAAGATTGAGAAAAGATGTACAGGTTCGTAAGTGCTTGCGTAACTGCTTCGTGAATCTGGATCCTGGACCCAGATTCAGTAGGGCAGAACATGTGGGAGCTATACGACCGTGCGCCGCGCTCTCTGGCTGGTATAAAAGGATTGTACAAGAATGATCTAGCTAAATATGCAGTTCTGTTACTACTGTCGCTGCTGAACTGTTGATTGTTTATACGTTGTAATACACATTACCGACACTTAGATCTAAGAGTTGTGGTGCACGTGGACAGGTTAAGGAAAGTCTTTAGACGCGGGCAGTCGCCCTGGCGAGGTGCTGAAGATCTGGCCAAGATGGTTACCGTTAGGTGGGAAGACACCTGATAGTAGGAAAGACTGTCCCAGGCTCATGAGTCTGCCTTCGCTGTCCTCATGATGAAACACGTCTTACAGTGTAGGGCATAACGCCAAGGTTACACAATCACACACCTGGCTTTTGCACAGAACAAGCCACAACAGCGTGACTAAAATAAACAGCTGAACACACACATGTTATGAAGATGACGTTTGGGCTCCTCCCGGACACTAACCAAGGAGTCACGTCTTGATAAGGCTGCAGGATGGACTAAAACGTCATCACTTTAATTTGATGTGTGTGCGGATTGGTACACTCTTTATATTTACGTGTTAAAATGGCCTGTCAAAGGAAAGAAATAAATGAATCAGTTAAGCCGTCGCGCTAAATCTATGAAGGAAGTTGCCGGTGGGAAACAGGTTACACGTGTAGGTTGTAAACAATAGTGGCCTAGAGCTCCAATACTTGTAGGCCAGGTTGATCACATCAGCCTGGAAGACCCTTCACTGATACACTTGCGTCTGCCACCACCATCTCTGGATATTACTTTAAATATCAACATAAGAAAAATTCACAACAATAACATTGAAAATATCAAAGTTTTGAGAGTTACCACTTAAAGGTCGTTCATCTGTGAGACAAGTGCAGTGTGTGATGTGTTAACTATGATTGAAAATTTCAGTAGTGGCTAGATTCACTACTTTTTTCAGAATTCTTCACAGCCATCCAGGGTTCTCCCTGAACCTCGGTGTAGGAGTGCACTCCTAATGACTGTCAGAATAAGTAAGCAATTTAATTATAAAAAGGTGTCAAGAACATTTAATGCCTCAAATATGTGTTTTGAATGGACTGTTAAGGCACACGGTATCTTTCGAAGTCTTGGAAGGAACACCTAATTTGACTTTAAAACCAATTAAAAATTGTATTTTGTTTTCCACGAGTCATCATTGTCATTATTGCCCCGTTTCCCAGGTATGTATGGCATATTTAGTGTTACAAAATGACATCCATGAAATCACCAAACACATCTCTCACAAAACAGCAATACGGAGAACAGCCACCATCACCCAGCAAATCATCCACAGCAGCATCAGACCGCAGCATAATCCTAGGTGTACAGTCCTCTTTGTTAATTGTTAAACACAAGCACACCACACTTTCACTCTCTTTCACAACTGCTGCCAACTATTCTCTCGCTGCTCCAACCCGTTCTCGCACTTTCGTATAGTCAATATTGACTTATTAAATACGTGCATATGTGACATACTAAACATAATAGTTTACCTTGAAAAGCTTTATAGAAAACACCGACCTTACCTAACCTTCTTAGTATGTTAAGATAAGCATCTTATAGCTTCGTAATTACAATTGTTACTTAACCTATTATAGGTATAGGTTAAGTAATAATTGTAATTACGAAGCAATAAGATGCTTATCTTAACATACTAAGAAGGTTAGGTAAGGTCGGTGCTTTCTATGAAGCTTTTCAAGGTAAACTTGTATGTTTAGTATGTCACATATGCACGTATTTAATAAGTCAATATTGACTATACGAAAGTGCGAGAACGGGTTGGCTGCTCACACTCACTGCTGGTTCCCTGCTGAGCAGCTGGAGCCCGTCTTCTCCTCCCTAAACTCCTCATGGCCGCAGTTTCACTGGAATACACTTCACCACAATTTAACCATCCGTTTGTCCAAAATTACCACTACTTTATATCACCATTTTATCCTTACTCCATCTATTTTTTTTCTAAAACCAAAATTCTTCCGAAATTATACATTTCGGAAGATTCTAATTTCAGACTTTTTCATGCTTGTTCCACAACTAGACTGGGATCTGCATAAAAGTATAGGAACTACTACACCTCCATGCAGCCTTTGGCTACATTGCCCTTATGTTGCTCCCTCACGTGAGGGATCCACGGTTCGAGATCCATCCAGCCCAGGTGAATGAAATGTTTATTTCCACGGAAGTGTGGATTACAATTTATATAGGTTCCGGCCTTTCATTATTTGAAAAAATGTTCTTCCTTTTGAACTTGCACACATTTTTCATGTCACACTCCTCAGGAATTGAAATTCCCCACCATTTCTATAAATGTCCATACACACGTTTCTCTCCCTCTACACTATCATAATTTTTTGTTGTTTACATTCACATTAACAACCTTCTCGAACACACCTCAAGAAAATCTCATCTAATCGACAAAGTGTCATATCGTTCGCTGCAAGAAGAGCTGTAATATTATATTATATATATATATATATATATATATATATATATATATATTATATATATATATATATATATATATATATATATTATACATCTCTACAAAAATTTATACTTGATGGTTGTTTATTGTAAGACTACAACCTTCTCGAACACACCTCAAGAAAATCTCATCTAATCGACAAAGTGTCATATCGTTCGCTGCAAGAAGAGCTGTATTTTTATATATATATATATATATATATATATATATATATATATATATATATATATATATATATATATATATATATATATATATATATATATATATATATATATATATTCTCTACAAAAATTTATACTTGATGGTTGTTTATTGTAAGACTCTACTCCAAATTGTTATTTTCGCTATCAGCCACTCTTGATGTACTTACCCTGTATTAGTTCTCGTACTGTTCATCACATCATACTTTTCTTCTTTAAAAGAGTGCACCACTTGCAACCTCCTTGCTTATTAAGTCTCAGGACCTCAGATCCCTGGCTGATTTAAGCTTTAACGTTGAATTTCCCACACCTTTATTTCAAGGTGGGCGAGATAAACATGTTGACACCCGCTCCCCAAGACTGGTGAAATATATTATGACTTCCTTGTATGATCAAAGGAGAGGTTTGGTAATATGACTCGATGGATACTGGAGTTGGGCGCATCACACACAGGAATATAAAATTGTTTTACTAACAATGTTAGGCTCGCCTTTGATGCGATGTTGTGTGCGTTTTGTTAATGTGTGTGTGTGTTATAGACGATAAAGTTTAGTGCTGGAATGCCCAGTGAAGTCCACTGGGTGGGTGGCGTTGTATGTAAGGTGTTATCAGGGTTTAAAAAGGTATGCTACAGAAATAATAAGAATTTGGCCCACTGTTGTGGCAGGCTTTTTAAACCAACCGCTGTTCTTCGTTCTATGTTGACAACGAACAACAGCGGTTGGTGCAAACTAATATGTAATCTAATGTTACCAAGAAGAATAAACATTAACTGGTTTCCAGTTTACAGAAACCTTATTGGTCATGAAGATGAAATATTGCATATGGGTCACACGTCTCCTCTTGCTGTATGCAAGCCTTCATATATATGTATAAATAAATAAATATATTATATATTATTATTTTTGGTACCTTATGTTAAATGGTTATGAATGTCCATATAAATTCAGATCAAATAGTTTTCACACAATACACTGGAACTTATGTATGGTCGTATGTACGTAAATCTGGGAAGCGACAGTGGTGGCATAACTTAATTGTCAGCATTGTCAGTGTTGCTGAAGAGTGTACCATGTTGCTGGCGTGTGGCATGCACGAGTTGCTTAGTGTCAGGTAAACCACATCACACTCTGCCACCACTAGTTTAAACTTTTATTTCTCAGACCAGAAGCTTGACACTGTAGTGTGAGAACATAACCCACTCTCAGGGGTTTCACTTTCCCATCCGCTTCACAAGCTTATTATGTTCGAGACGTCCATCCCAGGTTCTGTCGTGGAGCCTTACTCCTTCAGAGGGTGTTGCTGGCGAGTGCTCTTTTCGTGTTCGCTTATGGGGTGGCGTTGTATAGTGTGTGGGCGTGGGTGGTGGTGCGGGCGGCCTGGGTTGTGCTAGGTCTCTAGGTGTATCTGGTGGTGGGTGCGGGTCCTGGGAATGGTGCGAGGAAGGGCCGCTGTCTCTTTCGGCGCCAACACTGTCTCTAATTGCTCTAGTGTTTTCTTGGCCACACTGAGGACATTCTCCTCGCACCCGGCCACGTGACCGCGCCCGCGGACATTACCACGCCCACGGCTTGTCACGTCAGAGTATCGTGGGCGGTTGATGGGCGGCAGAGGCACAACGTGTCCTTCTGAAGAGCTGAAGGAGGGCCCTCGACCTTTGGCTCCCCGTACGAGGTCCCAACCCTCAGAACGTACTGACGATTCCAGAAAGTCTGTGGAAGTGTCGTCTTCGGCATCATCGTCGCTTGGTTTTGGTGACTGCGTCAGGGACCTGGGCTCTGATGACGACCGAGGAAACGTCATCAAATTGGCTTTACGCACTGGGGGCACGTTGCGTCCCTCGCTCTTTGTGCTGCTTATGGAGGCACTGAAGGACACGTCTAAGAACCTCCCCGGCAGCAGTGTAGGGAGTGATGGGCGTGCAGGCGTGGGTGGCCTGTGTTCTGGATGGTTCTCTGCATCCTCCTGAACCAGGTGTTGGATGCTGCGGTTGAGGGATCGTGAAGAGGAGCTGAGCTCAATCTTGGGCATGGGCTGGGCGGCGGCGAGGGTGGCGCCCGTCACCGTTATCTTCCTGGCGTTGTTGGTGGTCATCCTGACGAAGGGTTTGTCCTCGCCTTCACTCGCAGGCGGCTGATGCTCGCATTCCATCAGTGACTCTGTGTCTGCTTCATTACCTGAAACATCAACAGTGTTGTATAGTCACTGAGAATGACTGAATGGGAATTCATGAAACGCGAGGTGATGAGAACATAATTACTGACATAATACGAGAGGAGAAGAATCATGGGTTAAGGAAAGTCAGCATTATAAAGGGGAATTAAATGAAGCTTCAAAACTATATTTGTCTTCTTAACTTTGCGTATACTTGATGTTCATATTGCCTTCACTAGTGTTATTCTAGTGCTGCACTAGTGTTATTCTGGTGCTTCACTAGTGTTATTCTGGTGCTTCACTAGTGTTATTCTGGTGCTTCACTAGTGTTATTCTAGTGCTGCACTAGTGCTGCACTAGTGTTATTCTGGTGCTTCACTAGTGTTATTCTGGTGCTTCACTAGTGTTATTCTGGTGCTTCACTAGTGTTATTCTGGTGCTTCACTAGTGTTATTCTAGTGCTGCACTAGTGTTATTCTGGTGCTTCACTAGTGTTATTCTGGTGCTTCACTAGTGTTATTCTGGTGCTTCACTAGTGCTTCACTAGTGTTATTCTGGTGCTTCACTAGTGCTGCACTAGTGTTATTCTGGGGCTTCACTAGTGTTATTCTAGTGCTTCACTAGTGTTATTCTGGGGCTTCACTAGTGTTATTCTAGTGCTGCACTAGTGTTATTCTGGTGCTTCACTAGTGTTATTCTGGTGCTTCACTAGTGCTTCACTAGTGTTATTCTGGTGCTTCACTAGTGTTATTCTGGTGCTTCACTAGTGTTATTCTGGTGCTTCACTAGTGCTGCACTAGTGTTATTCTGGTGCTTCACTAGTGTTATTCTGGTGCTTCACTAGTGTTATTCTGGTGCTTCACTAGTGTTATTCTGGTGCTTCACTAGTGTTATTCTCGTGCTTCACTAGTGTTATTCTGGTGCTTCACTAGTGTTATTCTCGTGCTTCACTAGTGTTATTCTGGTGCTTTACTAGTATTATCCTAGTACTACACTAGTGTTATCCTAGTACTACACTAGTGTTATCCTAGTGCTACACTAGTGTTATTCTAGTGCTTCTCTGGTGTTATTCTAGTGCTGCTCTTGTGCTTCACTAGTGTTTTTAGTGCTGCACTAGTGTTATTCTAGTGTTTCACTAGTGTTATTCTAGAGCTTCACTAACCTTTCAACCAGCTTCAGTAGGGTGCAACACTACTCACCTGTCGCTTCAGTAGGGTGCAACACTTCTCCGGTCACTTCAGTAGGGTGCAACACTACTCACCTGTCACTTCAGTAGAGTGCAACACTACTCACCTGTCACTTCAGTAGAGTACAACACTTCTGTCACTTCATCAGGGTGCAACACTTCTCCTGTCACTTCAGTAGGGTGCAACACTACTCACCTGTCACTTCAGCAGGGTGCAACACTTCTCCTGTCACTTCAGTAGGGTGCAACACTACTCACCTGTCACTTCAGTAGGGTGCAACACTACTCACCTGTCACTTCAGCAGGGTGCAACACTTCTCCTGTCACTTCAGTAGGGTGCAACACTACTCACCTGTCACTTCAGTAGGGTGCAACACTACTCATATGTCACTTCAGCAGGGTGCAACACTTCTCCTGTCACTTCAGTAGGGTGCAACACTACTCATATGTCACTTCATCAGGGTGCAACACTTCTCACTTTAACAAGCGTACATCACTCGGTTGCTTGTGTTGTTTAGTGTGTCAGCGTCACTCCAGCAAGCAGATGACTTTCACCAACGCTTGTGTAAGTTCAAAACAATTGGACCTCACTCTTACAACAATTTGATTGTGTTAATGCTTGAATGTCTTAGTTTGAAAGGTCTGGTTAACTTTAGTTTGATTCTTCCTTTAACAATGTGTCGTTAATTGTCATAAGAAAATTGTCACTTACAGCAAAAAGTCCGGTTCAACTTATCTCACTTAAGGAAATTTTACATTAGTCTGTTATTCGCTATTGGAACATAAGTGACATTTAAGTGACGTTGAAGCAAGAGCGCGCCTGGCTCCAGAAAGTCACTCCACCGTGATAAACATGTCCGCTCTTTTAAGGAAGTATTGAACAAATGTCTGGCGCACTTTAACATATGTTTTAGCAAGCGTGCGATTCACTTCACTCCATGCAAGTCTCACTTGAGTGCGTGTTTGAGTGGAGGGAGAGTGTGCCTTACTCTGGGGCGTGCTAGAGCCAGCAGAGGGTAGGTAGGAGCCTCACCTGAGCCCGGACTGCCGGAGATGGAGAGGCCATGCATCAGCTCCTGCAGCACCTTCCTCTCTTCGGCGTCAGGCGCCCCCACTCTCAGGGGCTCACTCCTCACCTGCGACCTCTTGTCAGCCTCCTCCTCCTCCCCAACACCTTCCGCTCTCCTCCTGCTCCTCTCACCGTTACCTATGTCTCTCGTCCAACTACTCCTCGCCCTCAGTCTCTCCACGTTCAGGTCCTTGGCATTGTTGTCGCTGTCGTCGTCTGTAGCAGCCTCGCCGGCGTCTTTGAGGGCGAGAACACTATTTGCCCTAGTTACACTTCTGTTGATGTGACTCCCACTGACCCCTATGGCACCTTTGCTCCTGCTCAGCAGTACGGGACTCTTTACGTTGTGGCTACTGTTATACCCTGTCGCACCCTTGCTGGTAAAGCTGCTGCTTACTAGTACTGCACCCTTGACAGTATGACTGCTGCTGTGGCCTGTCGCACCGTTGGTGTTGGAGCCACCAGTCAGCCCAATCACACTCTTTATATTGGGGTTACCACTTGTTCCTAACGTTAGTTTCCAGGTACTACTTGGCACATTTCTTCTGATGCCAAAGTCGCGGTCTTCCCAGGCGGTGTTCTCCTCTTCTTCAGAGTTCTGATCCTCGCTGCAGGTGCAGAAGTTTCTTGCACTCTTCCTCCTGTGGGCGCCTTCACCTGCTCCTGTGCCAGTGTGCTGGTGTCTTGGGGGGATTGTTTTCTGGCAGTCGGTGCAGAAGGTGATGAAGGCAGGAGGCGGTAGAGGGTCCGTGGGTCCTGGACCAGATGCCGGACCCGTGTTCCTTCCCAGAGACTTTGAGCGACGAGCGGAAGACCTGTGGAAAAACACTAGATAGTGACTTCTTAATAAAAGAAAGCAGCAATATTTCTTCCAGAATATGAAAGAGACTTTGAAGGAGATTTATAAACAAGCAGATATAATAGCCATGGGTCCCCTCCCTGGGTGTTTTATTAGTACATTTTTATCTAGGTAGTATTGAACAGTGTCCCAGTTCACCTGGATCTTAAATTTAATGTCTTCAGCATGTTGATGACTATTTCTTGCTGGTGCCTGACAAGAAATGCTTGCTCCTGCTCAAGGGAGCTTCCGAGCGAAGCTCAGTTTTACTTATAAGATGCGAATGAAAAGGCAAACCGCTTTTCTTGAGTAAAACAGCTTTGGAATAGAATGATACTTCTACACCTCGGTCTACACTATGGAAAACGACAAAGAGGTGCCTCTTGAATGCTAGTAGTGAGTACTCTAAGTGAAAGAAGCTAAATGTTATTGATGGCTACTTCAATTATGCTCTTTCCCACGGCTCCAGTTGGAAGTAAGTTAATGAGAAACTTGGCAAAGTGAGGCAGGTCATTGTCAACAACGAATACTCTAGTAAAGATGCGGAAGAGGTCATCAAATGGAAAGTGAACTGCCATTCTACCACTGTTAAGATGTCAGCATCACAGAACCTTCCTCACCCTGAGAGCTCTACAGAAAAGACATTTCAATGGCTCACAACATGGAAGGAAGACCTGAAAAACATAATTGTCAGAAATGTCACTACTCTCGACAATGACAAATAAATACAGCTCACCATTTCGTACAAGACCAAGAAAACTGCCAGCAAGCTTATGAAGCAACAAGTTTACCGACAGCAAATTTTGCGAAATTTGGCAATGTCTTTGCTTACCCACTTGGGCAAGACCTAATGCTCCTTTTATAAAATCAATATACTAGTTAACCATTGGCATGTGGGTGGTCAGGCAGTGAGAGGAGCCTAGTAGCGTGCAACTTGAAAAAATACAGTAGTTCCATTTGGCTTTGAGAAAGGGTCGGGGCTTTAAAGATGGTGGAGGTTTGGTTTTAACTTTAAGGGTTTTCATCCTTTACACCTAGAATGAATTAATAAAACATTAATTTTCCCGATTATAATGTGTTAAAATATTATAATAACAAAATAGATTTCTCTACCTTCCTTTTTAATCTTCCTACTTCAGTGAAGAAAAACCTAAGAAAAATCGAGAAGATTCGTGCCAGAATCATAAATCTAAAACTTTCTGTTGTTTTCAACGAAATATGTTTAAAAGAAAGACTGCTACCATATATATATATATATATATATATATATATATATATATATATATATATATATATATATATATATATATATATATATATATATATATATATATATATATGACAATGTCAGACCACGGGGGGAAAATGAAATGTTTGAAAAATGTTTGCCCAGTCCAAGTGGGTGGACTGGGCAAACCTAACCTTGCCTGCGTGTTATAGTAGACGGCTGAGATGTGAGCAACACTTGGCCCTACCTGGTCTTCCTGCTCTCAGTAGGCGTAGGTGGGCGATCTAGGTCGAGTGGGTTGGCGGGGACGAATGCAGAAGGGCCAGAGGGCCTAGGGAACACCCCCGACTCAACCTTTAGAATGGCGGCGATGTCCTCGTGGCCGTTCTTTTCCGCGAGCTGCCACGCCGTCAGCCCCTGCCCGTTGCGCTGACCTGCAAGAGTACCTTCAGTCAGTTAAGGCTGGTGATGGAGGAGCACCTCGGCCCTGTGAGGTGTCGCTGGGACAGTACAGTGGTGACCCGGGTGTTGACGAAGGCACCACAGGTTCAGGCAGGTCTGGCACACTCTCACACCAGTTAATTTGATCGTCACACTCTGTCCCTCCACATCTCAGTTCATGAATTATTCACAATGTTACATAGCACTGCCTCGCTTACATTAAACTACTAAATAACTTATAAAAATTATTCCACAGTATTTCCAGGCTAGTGTACAATACAATAGTCCATATCTTATGGAGGCGTCACCAACACATGTCAGTGATAAGTTCTTTCCCTACAAACATAACTGACCTCCCCCTCCCCCTTCTCCACTAGACCTTGTGGGACATTCTCCTTCCAGTACAACCTGGTGCTTGTAGCAACTCACTCCAGATGCTTCACAACCATCACAATATACCTGGTTGCACCAACATATACTAGAACAACTGCCCCTCACCATGTTTAGAGTCACATATGAATCGACGTTGAATCAACGTCAATAACAGCTGGAAAGTCGGTTATTATCACCATGGACAATGACACCTACATTTCAGGTTTCATAGGAGTTGTTGGATGTCGCAATAGGAGGCAGTGTTACTTGAGGCATGGGGCTCGACCCCTTACAACCTTATGACACTCGTCAAACAGTCATAATTTGCAATGGAAAGTTGCAGGAGGCTAACTGTAAAAATGTCTCCTCCAACTTTGGACAGGCAAACACACACACACACACACATTTTCTCTCATAATAATAAACTGTTGCTATCTACCAGGGGCGATACATTTGTTCCCATACTTATTCACAGGGAAGGTGTAAGTGACGAGGAGATTGTGGTCAGAATATCTGTATAAAATTATAAGAGGATTTGGGCAAAATGATTTTTGTATTTGTGGCACAACAAATGCATAATATTGATGTCCACTGGACTTAGATTACTATTTGGGAAGAAAGCAATTGCAAGAGTGTAATGAAACATGTGTGCGTAAACATTACACTGTCCTCGCTTCACTGGAGGACACGAGGAGTACGGGGGAACATAGTAACAACATAGGAAATTCTATTGGAAAAAGAAACAGAAGTTGAAAAATATGCAATGTTCAAAAGGGAAAATAGGGGAGTAGAGATTTCGATTGAAATTGGGGATACAAATTAATGGGACAGATTAAGAATATATGTTATTGAAGCAACCTATAAAGGCTTACTTAAGAAACGTGTATCTATAAATTAGAAAGTATGTCTGTCTGTATATATGAGGTTGGCGACCAGATGCTTGGGATTAGCCTCACCAAACTTGTCTCTTGATTCCTGTGGGGGATGTGCCCAACATGGTCAGGTGAGGGTCGTAACATTTCAACAGACAACAGTATGCTATGGTCGCAGTATACTATGAAAATAATTCATTTTTCTTTAGCATTGCAAAATATTATGCATCGATCTCGAGAAAATTAACATTAATTTTAATTAGGACATATATATGAGAGGGATTAGGTGGTTGTAAATAGGAGCTGCCGCGTATGGGCCAAATAAGCCTTCTGCAGTTACCTTTGTTCTTATCTTCTTAATTACTCATACTTTGACTGTAACAACGAGAAACAGTTTTTGTTTAATGAACACATCACATCCACCACCTGCGGGTTCCCGCCACTCCGGGTCCACCACGCCATGCTCCCCAGCTCCCACACTGGACCACCAACCCATCCTCCTGTTTAGGCAGTACCTATTGTGACGGTCGTCAATAGTCACGAATTCGTACGTCTTAGTTTTTAGACAGTAGATTCCTGATTCCTGATTTTACATCAAGATGCCTGACTAATAAGGAATTCTTGTCAAATAAATGAAACTAAATAACAAATACTCCTAGGCCTAGTATAGCACATGTTCAATATTAGGCCTTAGAGATCGTCTATTAGGTCTAGGGAGGTTAGGATAAGTTAGTGTAGTTTGTCAGCCAACACAAGTAAAAAATGGTTTTCTGGTTTGTCGAACTCAATAGTTTAGATTTCTACTTTCTAATTGCGTTGTTCGTGGGTATATGGTCCTCATCGTTACTATAAGTACTACCACAACAGGAGGCTGGGTTGGGATCATTGATCGTGGTGTACTTCAGTAAGAAAGCGTGGTGTACTTCAGGTTTGTTATAATTTTAAGTGTACTGTCAGAGGAGAGCAGAAGGTGGGAAGGGAAGAAGAGGTGGTGATGGGAGAAGGAAGGAGAGAGAAAGAGAGGAGAGAGAAGGAACAAAACAAAATGCAAGATAACTTGCTTAAAAACGGAATATAATGCGAAATTCTGAGGGAACTTTCACCTGGTGCCTTTCTTTACTTTGCAGTAAAATAAGCCCCCGGAATTAGGGGACTTATCTTACCTGCCCGAAACTGTGTGTGTTAGTGGCTGTACAAGAATGTAAGAACTCTTGTATATATAAATAAATAAAAAAAAAAAAAAATAATCTCATCTTTATTCTGTCTTTCTCTGGACCCACTTTCGCAATCTCTTTGTCTCACACAATAATTTGTGAATATTTTACTTTAAATAGATAAATAATTGACGCATTCAGTGCAGCAAATTAAACTACATGCAAAATATCAACAAAAAGTTACATTTCCCGGAAGCGGCCGCGTTACCCCTTGTGGCTTTGGTCGTTACTGAAAATGTTGGAGACATTACAGAAAACGGATACCAACTGCCTGACGAGGGGGAGGACTCTCATATACTCATTATTTTATTCTTGGTATAAGAATTCCTGTTGTAAAGGACAAAGATCTGTACTTAAGCTTATCGAGGTTCCCCTTGTGCCAAGGCCATCCACTGACTATTCCAGGATGCAACACACAACAGTCACCTAACTCCAGGCACCTATTGAAGAGAGGCACCAGGTGCCCAAACGTCTCAGTACTGCCGCGGGAATCGAACGGGTGCCCCCAAGTTGAAAACCACGGAATTCCATGACTGTGCCAGGCACCACCAACACGGTGTTCGCGTCTCATTGTACCACAGAACTTGTGATCTGACAAGTTTGAATATGTTCGAAATTTTCGGGAACAGGAAGTATTTTGGGGTTATCGATACAAAGCGGTCACCCATCAGGTTAACGAGCCGGACTCGCCAGTGCTTAACCTGATTGGCCGAGTGACGCACATCCACTGCGTCATGTCAGACGCGTCTGAATACCCGAGCACAGGATATGTTTTGAACAACGATCAATATGGAACCTGGAGAGTCTAGACCAAGGCTAATGGTCATAATGGCTGAACTATAGAGCAGTATTATAAGTGGGTGGGCCTTGCAAGGTATTTGGGACAAGTCAGAAGATGCGAGGGTTATCCTACACTGTAGAGGCAGAGGAGGTTCTGATTGGAAATTGTTCTACGGTGTTTTGAGAAGTGGACGGCGGTAAGACAGTAGAGAATTATCTGGAGTGCGTCCCTTGTCAGTGTTAGAAGATATGTGGCACCGTCCCGCACATGATCTGTATGTTTGAACTTGAAAAGAAGCCAAAGTTACAAGAGGGGGAACCAAGCTAAGAAACTACCTCTCGGGTAGAAGGTAGAGCTTAGAGAAGGGGTTGGGTCTCTAAGACCCCCCCCCCCTTTCTTAGACAAAGAATCATTGTCTACTTTGGTACCTCCACGTACCAAAGAGTTAGTTGGTTAGTACGTTAGTTGAGAGGGTTGATGAGCGGGTTCCCAGAAGAATCGTTACTAAGCATTATTCTATATATAACAGGAAGTAGACAAGCATATTAGCTTCGATTTGCCATAACAAATTTCAGATTAAAAATACAGGACGAGGACTGCAAGGTTCAAGAGGACTTGTGTACTTGTCTCTGTAAATTCATTAGGTGAGTACACACACACACACACACACACACACACACACACACACACACACACACACAAAACTGGTGGAATCGGCAGAGATCAAATGTGTTGGAAGCCTCGCGATATTTGAGTGCATATTGAAAGCGGCAGCTGGTACAGTGCGCGGCACTTGGGGGTCTCATACTGGCAGAGGAACAAAAACGTACAATGTGATGCCATTATATGAGAGAGGAGGCGGCGGCGGCGGCCAGGAGTCACTGAACTACACACTTCCATCACTAACAAGTGTCCCCTGACAGTGCTGGCCAGAGTAATAACACAATGGCTCCTTTATCATTACACATTTACAAATAACTAGATAACTCTGCCGAGTCGCGACTCTGGTGTGATGGTGTCAGGTTTTGGGTTGTGCTGCTGCCTGTGGTGGCTGGCGGGGTGTAAAATATAGACCTGAACCTGCAGAGGAAGAGAGTGGGACTCATGTATCAACCCCCAGCATATAACCTTAGGAAATTGCCTTCTTTTTAAAGCTTAACAGGGATCGACTAATTATACAAATTGGTGCTGGAGAACGTGCCGAGAGGGAAGGCAGAAGCGTGTCTACTTAATCGACAAGGGTCTATACGACCAGTAGAGGGAAGTCCTCTACTGGCGCCTCGCCAGTCTCTACACTAGTCACGTCATGTCTCTCAAACCAACAGGAACTGCAGTGCTTCTTCCAGATTATCATCAAATAGGCGTACAAGTAGGCACCAACCCATCCAGGGTTAGTGCCTACCATCCCTGGATGGTATGTGTATATACATATGTGTATAAGACATGCACATATGTCCTATACCCGGCCATATGTGTATGTTTTATGTTTTCGGCCATATGTGTATAGGACAAAGGTCCTATAGACACATGGTACGGGTTCGTACTTTGTCCTATACGCATATGACAATACTGCAAACTCCGCTATGGAACACAACCGTTTAATGAAAAAAAACTGATATAGTTAGCCGGGGAGCCGGTCGGCCGAGCGGAAAGCACGCTGGACTTATGATCCTATGGTCCTGGGTTCGATCCCAGGCGCCGGCGAGAAACAATGGGCAGAGTTTCTTTCACCCTATGCCCCTGTTACCTAGCAGTAAAATAGGTACCTGGGTGTTAGTCAGCTGTCACGGGCTGCTTCCTGGAGGTGGAGGCCTCGTCGAGGACCGGGCCGCGGGGACACTAAAGCCCCGAAATCATCTCAAGATAACCTCAAGATAGTTGCCCATGTTGGTCAGGCATGACTTAGTCCGGTATGGGACGTCATATTCTCGTTGTTTTTGGTCGACTTCACGTCGTATTCTCGTTGTTTTTGGTCGACTTCACGTCGTATTCTCGTTGTTTTTGGTCGACTTCACGTCGTATTCGCGTTGTTTTTGGTCGACTTCACGTCGTATTCGCGTTGTTTTTGGTCGACTCCACGTTGTATTCTCGTTGTTTTTGGTCGACTCCACGTTGTATTCTCGTTGTTTTTGGTCGACTCCACGTTGTATACCCGTTGTTTTTGGTCGACTCCACGTTGTATTCTCGTTGTTTTTGGTCGACTTCACGTTGTATTCTCGTTGTTTTGGTCGACTTCACGTTGTATTCTCGTTGTTTTTGGTCGACTTCACGTTGTATTCTCGTTGTTTTTGGTCGACTCCACGTTGTATTCTCGTTGTTTTTGGTCGACTTCACGTCGTATTCGCGTTGTTTTTGGTCGACTTCACGTCGTATTCGCGTTGTTTTTGGTCGACTTCACGTCGTATTCGCGTTGTTTTTGGTCGACTTCACGTCGTATTCGCGTTGTTTTTGGTCGACTTCACGTCGTATTCGCGTTTTTTTGGTCGACTCCACGTCGTATTCTCATTGATTTTGGCCAACTCTACTACTCCAAGCTCCCGGACAAATCCGGGTAGACGACATTGACGTAACACACGACGCTGATGACAGTGATCCTACGTTTACCAGACGCAAATGATCGAGCATGGTGAGGCGAGTGTGGTGGTGGGGGAATATTAGTGAAACTACCGCGGTGGTGATTGGTGGCACTCTGAGGCACTCGTGGAGGTGCACGGGAGGACTCTGGCCCTGGCACTGTGTCCACCTCTGGGGATAACTTGTCCAAATGTTAGCAAGGGGGGCTGGGTTTTGCAGATATTATCTTAAACAAATGCGGTTGAGTTGTGGAGATGTTATCTTAGGGAAGGGGGCTAAGCTGTGGAGAAGTTATCGTAGGCAAAGTAGAGGCAAAGTTGTCGTAGGCACGGTGCCTCAAAGTTATCGTAGGCACGGTGCCTTAAAGATATCGTAGGCACGGTGCCTTAAAGATATCGTAGGCACGGTGCCTCAAAGTTATCGTAGGCACGGTGCCTCAAATATATCGTAGGCACGGTGCCTCAAAGTTATCGTAGGCACGGTGCCTCAAAGTTATCGTAGGCACGGTGCCTCAAAGTTATCGTAGGCACGATTCCCAGACTCGTAAGTTATGTAGATGTTATCTTAAACAAGGAACTAAGTTGAGGTGTTATCTTATGCATGGGGGGCTAAGTTGTGGAGATGTTATCTTAGGCAAGGGGGAAAGGTCATGTTATCTTAAGGCATATAAAGTGCTAACATAAGTTCGGCAAGAAGTTGAGTTGTCATTAGCAAGTGGATATTTGATTACCTTAAGCAATGGGATAGGCTTTGTTATCTTAAGAAAAAGGATAGACTGTATTATCTTGAGCAAAGGGATAGGCTGTATTATCTTAAGCAAAGGGATAGACTGTATTATCTTAAGCAAAAGGATAAACTGTATTATCTTTAGCAAAGGGATAGGCTGTATTATCTTAAGCAAAGGGATAGGCTGTATTATCTTCAGCAAAAGGATAGGCTGTATTACCTTAAGCAACGGGATAGGCTGTATTATCTTAAGCAAAGGGATAGGCTGTATTACCTTAAGCAAAGGGATAGGCTGTATTACCTTAAGCAAAGGGATAGGCTGTGTTATCTTGAGCAAAAGGATAGGCTGTGTTGACACGAAGATCAACACAATGTACTCAAATATGGACATCATGAAGATGACTAACTCCATACACACTCAAGGAAAGTCAATAATACACTGTATTAGGGGATATCCTTTCGTATTTTGAGTCAGCACATCGTGAACAATTTAGCATGGGAGTAATACAACGAATGAGATGTGGATAGCCGGTCGGGTTTAGTGTATGGCTCCTCACTCGTGTATAATACACGCCTTATGGGCAAATACAACAACCTCTCCAGTCGAATAATACACCGTATTTTGATGTAAAAAATTCCCGGTGAGAAATACAAAACATTCACGTTTTCTATGTGTGATCGATAGGTCAGGTTAGGTTAGGTTCGAGTGTTTTTAGTACATCATTTTTTGTCCGTTATTGCAACTGCAGAGGACGGGCTGGATACAGCAATGACGCCCGCTACTAACTACCCTGTTGTTAATGGTATATGAGAGTGAGTGAGAGAGTGAGTGAGTGAGTGGGTGGGTGGATGGGTGAGTGAGTGAGTGGGTAAGTGGGTGGGTGAGTGAGTAAGTGAGTGAGTGAGTGGGTGGGTGGGTGAATGAGTGGGTGGGTGAGTGGGTAGGTGTGTGAGTGAGTGAGTGAGTGAGTGAGTGAGTAAGTGAGTGAGTGAGTGGGTGAGTGAGTGAGTGAGTGGTGTACAGACGTGGGGTGAGTCAGTGTACTGTGTACCCATCACTCATGACCGGGTCAATACAGCCATCACAGACACTCGCCAAGGTGTCAATACCTCACCACCGTGGGCCTCGTGTACTGGCCATGTCCTTGTTACAGTTATGACAAGTCTCTTCAGCAGTCATACATTATTTTGTTTCATTAAAGGATAAACAAACTCGCGGAATGTCAGTCTGGCACTTTGTTCGTCTAGCACTGTCAGTCTGGCACTTTGTCCGTCTAGCACTGTCAGTCTGGCACTTTGTTCGTCTAGCACTGTCAGTCTGGCACTTTGTTCGTCTAGCACTGTCAGTCTGGCACTTTGTCCGTCTAGCACTGTCAGTCTGACACTTTGTTCGTCTAGCACTGTCAGTCTGGCACTTTGTCCGTCTAGCACTGTCAGTCTGACACTTTGTCCGTCTAGCACTGTCAGTCTGGCACTTTGTTCGTCTAGCACTGTCAGTCTGGCACTTTGTCCGTCTAGCACTGTCAGTCTGACACTTTGTCCGTCTAGCACTGTCAGTCTGGCACTTTGTTCGTCTAGCACTGTCAGTCTGGCACTTTGTTCGTCTAGCACTGTCAGTCTGACACTTTGTTCGTCTAGCACTGACAGTCTGACACTTTGTCCGTCTAGCACTGTCAGTCTGACACTTTGTTCGTCTAGCACTGTCAGTCTGACACTTTGTTCGTCTAGCACTGTCAGTCTGGCACTTTGTTCGTCTAGCACTGTCAGTCTGACACTTTGTTCGTCTAGCACTGTCAGTCTGACACTTTGTTCGTCTAGCACTGTCAGTCTGACACTTTGTTCGTCTAGCACTGTCAGTCTGGCACTTTGTTCGTCTAGCACTGTCAGTCTGACACTTTGTTCGTCTAGCACTGTCAGTCTGGCACTTTGTTCGTCTAGCACTGTCAGTCTGGCACTTTGTCCGTCTAGCACTGTCAGTCTGACACTTTGTTCGTCTAGCACTGTCAGTCTGGCACTTTGTCCGTCTAGCACTGTCAGTCTGGCACTTTGTCCGTCTAGCACTGTCAGTCTGGCACTTTGTTCGTCTAGCACTGTCAGTCTGGCACTTTGTCCGTCTAGCACTGTCAGTCTGACACTTTGTTCGTCTAGCACTGTCAGTCTGGCACTTTGTTCGTCTAGCACTGTCAGTCTGGCACTTTGTTCGTCTAGCACTGTCAGTCTGACACTTTGTTCGTCTAGCACTGACAGTCTGGCACTTTGTTCGTCTAGCACTGTCAGTCTGGCACTTTGTTCGTCTAGCACTGTCAGTCTGACACTTTGTTCGTCTAGCACTGTCAGTCTGGCACTTTGTTCGTCTAGCACTGTCAGTCTGGCACTTTGTTCGTCTAGCACTGTCAGTCTGGCACTTTGTCCGTCTAGCACTGTCAGTCTGACACTTTGTTCGTCTAGCACTGTCAGTCTGGCACTTTGTCCGTCTAGCACTGTCAGTCTGACACTTTGTTCGTCTAGCACTGTCAGTCTGGCACTTTGTTCGTCTAGCACTGTCAGTCTGGCACTTTGTTCGTCTAGCACTGTCAGTCTGACACTTTGTTCGTCTAGCACTGTCAGTCTGGCACTTTGTTCGTCTAGCACTGTCAGTCTGGCACTTTGTCCGTCTAGCACTGTCAGTCTGACACTAAAAGTAATTATTATTATTAACATATTTTCCTTCCTGCGATTCCCAGACTCGTAAATTAATACTAAAATTTAACGATAATAATTTTCTCTCTCTCTCTCTCTCTCTCTCTCTCTCTCTCTCTCTCTCTCTCTCTCTCTCTCTCTCTCTCTCTCTCTCTCTCTCTCTCTCTCTCTCTCTCTCTCTCTCTCTCTCTCTCTCTCTCTCTCTCTCTCTCTCTCTCTCTCTCTCTCTCTCTCTCTCTCTCTCTCTCTCTCTCTCTCTCTCTCTCTCATCGCGAGGCACTGCCGGTCTTGGCTGGTGGTGGGAAAGTTTGGAGGAGGTCCGCTTGGACTGTTAACCCACTTGCATATTTAGGTAATTACACACAAAGTCTGGTATCTTAATTATTCAGAAAATATCCTCGTAGGGTTCTTATTGGCACCATTTGAACTAACACTAGTTTATCTTATACCATCCCTGACCCGACCTTGTTGGGCACGTACCCCACAGGACTCTGGGTGCAAGTTGGGTGAGGCTAAAGCCAAACCTGTGGCCTTCTACCTCGGACACACTGACATTGTAATTTATAGATATAGGAGTTTATTATATAAATATACCAGAATAATACAAGTTATTTCTTACCCTGGAATGCGACGTGGTGGAGTTGTCTGAAGGCGGCGAGAATGAGCAGGACAATCTCCCTGTGTCCGAAAGCGGCAGCATACATCAGGGCCGAGTTGCCGTCTCCATCCTGCACCCCGGGGTCCACGTCTCCCTGTGGGGCAGCACGGGGGAGCACGGGGTTAGTCACGCACCACCTCCTTCATGGGGGGGGGGGGGTCATATCATAAGTGGCCACCAGTTGCCTCAGGGCGCCCGGGTCTACATGAACCACCAATCCGAGGCCCGGTCACTAGTGAGGCACCAAGGCGGAGGGAGGGCCCAGGGGACAGATTCACGAACCAGTTACGCAAGCACTTTCGAACCTGTAAATCTTTTCTCAATCATTGGCGGCTTTGTTTACAATTATTAAACAGTTAATGAGCTCCGAAGCACCAGGAGGCTGTTTATAACAATAACAACAGTTGAGTGGCAAGTTTTCATGCTTATGAAGTGTATAATAAATGTAACCAATGCCGTCAAAGACTCATGAAAACTGTAGACGCTCGTAAGTGGTTGCGTAACTGCTTCCTGTATCTGGCCCCTGGTCATTATAACGTACTGAGGCGTTCAGTACGGTAGCAGGTGGTGATTCACGAAGCACGTACCACTTACGAGATAGCTACATCTTATCTCCATCATGGCGGCTAGGTGGGTATTTACCAAACAGCTTGAGCTGCGAAGCGTTACGAGGTCTTCTATTAAAATATTAACTTCAGTTTGAGGAGGACTTCATTGCGCATCGAAGCTCGTCAACTGTTGAGTAAGTACAAACGTTGTCTCCTGAGTAGAGAGGCTGAATAGGTTTAGCGTGTATCTTGCCTCCTGACTGCACTTTCGTTGAGCCTCCTTGAACCTTTGTTTAGTCCTTGAACCCTAAGACTACGAATCCCGAGCGCTGACCACTTAGCCGTCACGCCCCCAGGTAGGGTAGACAAAATATTAACTCCCTTCCCTCCCACTGATGGGAGGGGGAGGTGGTGTGGGGTGAGAGGGAGGGGGGGGGGAAGGTGGCTGAGCAGTACACGTGACATATGAGGGCGTGAGACTGTGGTGATTATGAGTGATAAATCTCGTATGTCGTGGCCCAGTCTCCTCGGACACGCTTCTGCGGTGTGTCTGCCTCGTGTCTCCACCTCCACCACCACCTCACACTCCAACACTACCACCAACCTCTATATATCTATCTATCACCACTATCTACCACCGCTATATCTACCACCACCAAGCATTTTTCGTATACTACCATCAGCCTCTCTAATACCCCCCGTGTCTTTCATACCACCATCTACTCTACTTCTACCACCACCAACCACTCTACCACCACCAACCACACCACCTCCACTGTCGAATCTACTCTTGGTTCTTCTTATGTTCTTGAACTCTTGTTCTTGGTTGTTCATCAGAAGGTTTTATCCCTCGACGAAATAATGCGGTTATCACGTGTTGGTGTTATCGAGAACACACTCGGTATCTGCTTAGCTTGGTCGGTACAGCCACGACCTTGCTGCTTGCTGGGTCGGCGTTCGAGTTTTCATGGTTTGTAGCTGAGCATCGTTCCTTCTGTCCCAGCACTTATCCTGCCCTCTTGTCCCAGCACTTATCCTGCCCTCGTGTCCCAGCACTTATCCTGCCCTCGTGTCCCAGCACTTATCCTGTCCTCTTGTCCCAGCACATATCCTGCCCGCGTGTCCCAGCACTTATCCTGCCCTCGTGTCCCAGCACTTATCCTGCCCCTCGTGTCCCAGCACTTATCCTGCCCTCTTGTCCCAGCACTTATCCTGCCCTCGTGTCCCAGCACTTATCCTGCCCTCTTGTCCCAGCACTTATCCTGCCCTCTTGTCCCAGCACTTATCCTGCCCTCTTGTCCCAGCACTTATCCTGCCCTCGTGTCCCAGCACATATCCTGCCCGCGTGTCCCAGCACTTATCCTGCCCCTCGTGTCCCAGCACGTATCCTGCCCCTCGTGTCCCGGCACGTATCCTGCCCCTCGTGTCCCGGCACGTATCCTGCCCCTCGTGTCCCAGCACTTATCCTGCCCTCGTGTCCCAGCACATATCCTGCCCGCGTGTCCCAGCACTTATCCTGCCCCTCGTGTCCCAGCACGTATCCTGCCCCTCGTGTCCCGGCACGTATCCTGCCCCTCGTGTCCCGGCACTTATCCTGCCCTCGTGACCCTTGCAAGAAGTGTTTCCATACTTGCTTAGCACTTACATTTAGTAATCACCTTGAGAACACAGTGCTAGTAAAGTGTCCCCGTCACACAGGTTCTGGTCACTGAAAGTAGCATTAGCTGCTGCTGCTGTGTGTGTGTGTGTGCGTGCGTGTGCGCGTGCGTGAGCACAAGATAAAGGTGTGTTGTGTACCTGTGCACAGGTACGTGAGCAGGAGCAGGTGGGGGAACAAGGCACACAACAGGTGCTCTGACACCTGCACGCTGCTCCGTCCCGCTAATCCTCCTCACCCAACATTTACTCCATCTAATAATGCGTTGGTCAGTTCATATTAGCTGTGTGTGTCTAATCCTGCCAAAAATATATACTCTGCTCACAGATATAAGGAAAGATTGGAGAATTTGCGGTCATGCTCGTACATTTGGCTTAATTCGGAACATGTCGCTGCCGCGATAACGAAGCTAATGACGGGCAGAAGCTAAGCTTAGTGCGTTGTTTTATGTGTGGCTGAGTAACGTGTGGTTATCCTCAGTCACCTCACGTTATCATGCTCCCTCCGCCACCCACCACTGTCGGACCAGCGCTGTAGTGTGTGCACACACACACACACACACACACACACACACACACACACACACACACACACACACACACACACACACACGCACTAAAGACAGACAATTTAACACCAGTGGCACACGCACTAGGGGACACAGGTGAAAACTGAGTACCCAAATGAGCCATAGTGTCAGAGTAGTTATCAGGTGGAATGCATTAGGCCGTGATGTGGTGGAGGCTGACTCCATACACAGTTTCAAATGTAGATATGATAGAGCCCAATAGGCTCAGGAATCTGTACACCAGTTGAATGTCAGCTGAGAGGCGGGACCAAAGAGTAGAGTTCAAACCCCGCAAGCACATCTAGGTAAATACAACTGGGTGAGTACACAAAACTACCTCCCTACAACGTCTAGAGGAAACGACCTGGGAGTGGACATAACACCCAACCTTACTCCAGAGGCTCATATATAGAGAATAACATCAGCCGCATACTCTACGCTGGCAAACGTCAGAACATCCTTCAGAAACTTGAATAAAGAGGCTTTTAGATCACTGTATACCGCCTGTGTGAGGCCAGTCTTAGAGTATGCCGCACCATCTTGGATCCCCATCTTTAAAAACACAAAGAAGTTTGGAAAGGTGCAGAAGTTTGGAACGTGACTCGTCCCAGAGCTCCGAGGGATGAAGTACGAAAACAGACTAAAGGAACTAAACCTGACGACGTTAGAAAGGAGGAGGGAGGGGGGGGACATGATACAGACGTATAAAATACTTAGAGGGATTGACAAGGTGGAAACAGAGGAAATTCTTACTATGAATAACAATAGACCAAGGGGACACGGATGGAAGCTTAAGACTCAAATGTTTCATTGAGATGTTTGAAAGTTTTCTTTTAGAGTAAGAGTAGTGAGTAAATGGAATGACCTAAAGGAGCTGGTTGTAGAGGCTAACACCATTCATAACTTTAAAAGTAGAAGTGATAAAGAAATACGTCAGGAGTCATTGCATTAGACAACCAACGACTAGGAAGCGGGGTCCAAGAGCTAGAGCTCGATCCTGCAGGCACAAATAGGTGAGTACACTGTTAGTGACTGTTGAGTGATATTAACGCTGCAACAGTCATGGCAGCCGTAACATGCTGAGCCTGTAGCAACTGAACCACTGAGTGAGTGAGCCACTCACTCAGTCAAGCTTAACATGTTGTATGTCGAGTGATCCTCCTGTACGTCGCTTTTTCTGGAGGACGTTTTGTATATATATATATATATATATATATATATATATATATATATATATATATATATATATATATATATATATATATATATATATATATACATATATATATATATATATATATATATATATATATATATATATATATATATATATATATTTATAATATTAGATTAATCAGATCTAAACAAATAATAATAAGAAATCGACAAGAGGAAACTCCACGGATTCATCCATCCTCATTTAACTACCTCGTCCAGCGAAGTGACCAGAATGATGGAGAGGACGTTCTTAAATACCCAAAGAGAAGCAGCCACAGAGTACGAGCCACGCGGGGGTTTCAAATTTTGTGAGTTTGATGCGAAGTTTCATCTTTGGGCATAGGTTGTCCCTTGAAAGCTGGTGGCATGATTGGGTAATTAATTCTGCAAGGAATTTGAGGTTTGTACCTGTTGTTGTTGTTAAAGATTTGCTACCTGGAACAAAAAGTTCCAAGCAGCACGGGCTATGGTGAGCCCGTAGTGAGGTTTGTACCGTGGAATATTTTGTCCCAAACGACAGGTTGAGCTGTATTTGATGGCGGCCAAGGGCGGGCTGGGATGGGAGTCTTGGGTGTCAAGAGGGCTTTTGAGCGGATATTGTCTCATATATCCAGGTTAGCATTTAAAATTATGGCCAGTTCAATGAGTTTTGTGGACTTGGACATAACAGAAGTGTTAGGACATTTTATAAAGGAAAATATGAGCAACGATTTTTGGTAACAACTCAATGCGTGAATAATGAGATAAGATTTAATATGTAGATATGTACTAATCACAGAGCTTCAGATAATAATTTCGACCAGTTTGGCAAATGACGCTGCCATCATTCTGCTAATATAGTTTACAGTTACAGTCTACCATCAGGTTTACAGTTAGTCTACCATAAGGTTTACAGTTAGTCTACCATAAGGTTTACAGTTAGTCTACCATCAGGTTTACAGTTTTATCTACGCCTAGATTGGTCTCCTTTCCTGGTTGAAGAGTCTACCTCGCCTTCATCCTGTGGGACCCATACTGTTGTACTGATCTTCTCACTCTTACGCCTGTCCTCATAACTCTACCCTTGTGTAGCAGCCATTATTCAGACCGGCTCCAGCAAGGTC